TGTGTGTGTGAATGATCTTCAGACCTCCTGTAACACTGACTGTGGGAACCTCCAGAGATTTATCCATAATACTGTCATCTTTTATAAACGTGCATCCTGACAGAATAGGCACAGCTCTCTGCTGTTGCAACATTGTAATGAGTTTCCTATCATAAAGCCATTGTAACAGGAACCTAACGCCGTCTTGGCACTATGCTACGTTTACAGTGGTTTTTTTTCCTGCAGTAATCCCGCTGTGACGTTTTCTCCTGGTCTTAACACATGGGTAGAGCACTAATAATTTGTTGGCAGCTTTTGCTGTTCCTAAAGCAATGTCAGATTATAAATATCTAATCACAAAGCAGATATTGGATATAAAAAAAAAGTTAGTGGATTTACATAATGTTTGCAAGGGAGGGGGAGGGAATGTTGCACAGATTATCTACGTCAGCAAGCTGTATGGATTATTAGACTAATGTTTAGAATTATTTAAGTTAATATTTTATTACTCAAGCAAACCCATGGGATATTATGTGCTGTATTTTTTAAATCTGTACTTTGAGTGGCATGCCTGGAGGAATACTTCAGAGCGTGTTTAATTATGCCGAGATTCTTAAAGCTTAGAACAAGAGGTAGAGTTGCCTTGTTCGTTCTTAAAGAAACGTGATTTAGTAGTAATGCAAAAGCAAACAAATGAAAAGACCATCTGTTTTTCAAGGAAATTTGTACAACTTTGCACATGTGTGCCTAACATACATATTATGCAAATTTGGTTTCACCCTTATACAAATAAGAATTTGCGGGTGCAGTTTAGTATAATTCTTTGATAATTTGGCCTTTGATATTCACGTGCTATTGTTAGTCTTGATTTCAGTGAGCACCAAATGTGCGTAACTTGCCTTTTACTGAGAGACTACTCACATAATTTCCCATTAAGAATCTCTCATAAGCACAGCTTCTTTTCATTTCAGTCTCTCTGGTAAGCAGAAGTAGAGTGTTTTAACAACTATGAAATGACCTAATAATTTATCTTCCTGAGCCCTGTAGTCAGGAGCCACACAAGGAATTCAAAATTAATTTTACCTTTAAGGTTAAGAAATGATCAGCGGTCTTTAAGGAAAAGGGTGAAAGTTCATGTTCTGTTTTGACAGCCGTTTAAGAGGAAAGTAGAAGTGATGAAATGTCATGGCTTCCATATGTGGAAGCTTGTACTGTATTTTCTGACAGTGAGGCACCTGCTGGTTAAGTTACAAACAGTGTGCTAGAACAGTACCCCATACAGGAACAATAGATTAGAGGATACAGGAAGTTATTCAGTTACTTGGAAGATGAAAATGTTTAGCTTACCATTATATATTTTTCTGGATGAGGAGGTAAATATGGAACTTTTAAAGATGTAGATATGCTGAACTTCTTGTCTCCTGGTATGGCAGCCTTTGTGCCCACGGGGTGTTTGTTATCTGGGACGTCTTTTCGACCCAGTGTTGTATGTCCTGTCAAATGACGTCCGGTATTTTGGTCAGCACGTGTTCCCCAAATTGCATGGTGTACCAGTTAGCAATGGAATGATTAAAATGGTATGTAGGCCAACTCCTGCAGCAGATTTCAAAGCCTCAGGTTCATTGTAAACAGATAATGGAGCAAAAGCATATTAATGTGGTACAGCAGTGTCTCTCTCAATCTCGGTTAATGTCAGTTTGTCCTCATTGTGTTATGTGCTAATTCTTCTACTGCAACTCTCGCTTTTTGATTTCCCTCACCTTTGAATAAAACATAAGCAAAAATCCAATCTAAAGTATTAAATATTCAATAATTTTGAAAAATACATGCTATTTTTCCCAGGACAAAAAAATGGAAGAGAGTTATATGGGAAGAGGCTGCAAAGCACATTGCTTAATTCACCTAGAGAAAGTGCACAGACAGTAAATGATGGTTTTGTAAGCACTAGGACAAGATGGAATAGATAGCAAATTTTTATCTCTGTTTTTACAGGGACTTATAGATAAGAAAGTTATGCTTTTTAAAGATTCAGTTCTTTCTTTTCATGTAACTAAACTTTCTTTTCTTGTGGAGTTGAAGTGTCTCTTGGCTCGTATTGTTCTCCCTTTTTCTCCCTCTGGGGATTTGTCCTGTTTCTTTTTCAAAGCTTCATATGGTTCTACCTTTCTTTTGCCATTTTATTAAACAGAAAGACATAAAACTCACTATGCGTGTAAGGAAAGTGAACCACCCACCTTGATGAGAATGTAGAGCACAAAGGCTGGAAACTGGGGAGAAATACCAGATAAATACCTTTCCCGGAAATATGTTTGGGATATATTCTCATTTTAGTAATGCTAATAGGAGTTAGGTGTGTGAACCCCTCTGGCAGTGAGATGAAAACATACTCTGTTGTGCCATGAGAGAATTGATTTAGGGTACTCTGAAGTTTCAGAGCATTTAAAAACAGGTAAGCCAGTTATACTAGATTTCTTTATGATGACCCAGTCTCCCAAGTTTTGGTTGAGGACTTGATCTTGCATCTGTTGAATTTGACTGCAAAGCTTCCATGGGATTTAGGAACAAAGGAATAGCAACTGAAACAGTGAGAGTCAAGGCACACCTAAACCCTTCAGGTTTCTGAAAAATACCTGGAATCAGGTGTTATGTAAGGGAGAAAAATTCCTCCCTGCAGATTTCATCTTCTCAGTGAAGTGGAGCTCTGGGCATTACTAACTTAAAAAAGGTGTTCCCTGCCTTGTGGTTCTAACTGAGGGTGAGGAAGGATCTAGTTCTTGGACCTACCATTTGGAGAGTATTAAAGGGCTATGTTTACGTAGTCAAAATGGTGTCATTGTAATGGCAGTATGCAAACTGGAACTACTTCTAATTTAGATGTGTTAGCAAAGTAGACTTTCCACAAATTCTAGCAAGGCTATCAGTATATCTTTGTTTGGAGGAGGATCACTAACTCATACTTAAGGCCATATTATTACATTTTCACCACTTTTCTAATCTGTAAGTAATGAATTTATCTCAAACCAGCATACGCATCTTATAATCATACTGTTACTGGATTCCTCAGAAACACTCTAGAAATAACAGCATCTACCTCCATCTAAGGCAAGCAGGTTGTCTGAAAAGGAGTGGGACTTTTTCTGTGATTGAAACCCATTAACGTATCACCTTTATAAACCTCTCTCTGTTGAATGAGCATTGATCATTCTTCTGAGTGCATGCTAGAACAGTATCAAGGTCTAATGAGATGAAAGCTTGGGTTGCTATACCATATGAATTTTCTTTTTTCTGTCATTCAACACTAATACTCTTTCCAACCATTTTTCTTGCCTCAGATTTTCTGGGGTTTTTTCTCAGTATAAAGGCCAAACTGTAGCAGCATTACCTAGAGTACACTCTCCTGTCTAAATGTTTCATTGACACATCTTTTGCTGCCACTGCTCTGTTCAGTGACCGAGTAGCCTAAACAAGTGTTTTGGGACAGGATGTTCTTCTGCGGCGGAGAACATATTGCAGAGTTGATGCTTTCACAGCTCTTTTAGCAAACAATTGTTAGGTCTTTGTTTGCCGTTCAGTCTCAGAAACAAAGTGTGTTATTCTCTTGGTTTTTCTCTCTTCCTCTTTTTCTCTCTGCTTTAAAATCTTCTTTCTCCTGCTGCCTGTTTAAAAAAATAATACATTCTAGAATAAATTTTCTAGCATGGACTTTTCCTGTTTCATCCCTGCATCAAAAGCAATCCAAAGGACCACGATTGATTATCGAGCATCCTCGGCTCAGCACATGTTACTCAGGGAGAGGCAATACGATCTCAAAGCCATGCAGAGAAGGAGGGGAGGAGACAATGCATGCACCCATTGTCTTTGATAGTAGATTTCTGCACACAATGGACTTCCTCTCTGAAACTGTAACCTTAGAGCATTCTTCACCGGTACGAGGAAGAATAAGGGGGAAACTTCATGCTGTGGAGCCAGCTTGAGTTAAGAGTCAAAAAAAGGGAGCTTTTTCATACATTTGTGGGCTGGATCCTGGAAATGTGTTCCGCAGAGTGCCAGGGTGGACAGTCTGGGGATGTGCTCATTTACTTTCCCTTTTTTCGCTTTAAGGATGGACTCACCCCTCTCCACTGTGCTGCAAGAAGTGGGCATGACCAAGTTGTGGAGCTGCTTCTGGAACGAGGTGCCCCACTGCTTGCAAGGACCAAGGTGTGTGCCTTCTTAGAAGAATATTGTAACAGCTCTATGCAACTTTCCAAAGAATTTTTTATATCGTTGAAAGGACAAGTAAGAAGACAGCAACATTTCTGTTCTCCCAAAGAGAAATATATTAATGGGAAGAATGATCCAACTCACCTCCCACCCCACCCCGCCTCTATAATGTAAGACTAAACACATGATAGATAGTGCTGTTGCAAGTACTTAACTTTTGTGGCTTCCTAAAACCGCAGGCAGCAAAGACTGGAAAGTTGGGTCAGGTACTCCTGCAAGATTCCCTGCGTATACTTTCTGGTCCTTCATATAAGCTACCTAGATCCTGTGAGTTACAGCTTTTCCTAATTGTTATAGTGGACTATTTTGCGCTTTGAAAATGATTTCAGTGTTCCCATTAGTTTTTGAAAAGCATGCATTTAAGACGAATGCATTTACTAGAAATATTGTTCCGTAAGTCAAACCAGTGAGAGAAAGACATTTGTCATATAATACCAAGCCCTAATGGGCAGCACTTCACATTAGTAGGTTTCAGAGTGCTTGACAAAGGCAGCCAGTATCATTAGTTGGGAATGATGTACACCGTGATATAGAGTATTGAAATTGTATGCCTGAGGTGCCCTAGAAGATCAAGAGCAACAAACAATTTAAGTGTGTCTGGACGTCCCCACTGTGTTGAGGTTTGAGCAGAGCAGAACTGTCCAGTGAGTAATCCCTCCTTCCAGATGACAAATAATCAGTGAGTTTGATCAGACCAAGTCAGTTACCAGTTAGAGTCTGTATGTTGCAGTCTATATTTAAATACACAATGCTTTTGGAGTATCTGCGTATAAAATGAAAAAACAAATTTTCAAACAACTTCCCACTGAAACAGGTGGTTCCAAACTGGAGGCAGACAAATATATAAATAATAAAACTAATTTTTTCTGAAAACAACTTGCTGTACATATTAATAGATTCTCTTTCCTTTTAATTCTCTAAAGTCCACAGACTTCAACAAAGAGATCTATTAAAACCAGACAATGCTTTAGAACTCTCTCTTTCGCTGCCCTTCAAGTTTTGTGGTTTTAACAAAAGGTTTCACTGTGCTGGAAGTTGGAAGTATCATTTCCCATAAGTTAGAGGGTTAGGTTTTGCTAATATAATTTGTTTTCTATTGAGAACTGAAAAAAAAAATATGTTCCTTGATAAATATGGTGATGGGTAGATACTCTTCCTCAATTAGCATGCAACAGATGTCATAGCATTATGGTGAACATCCCTAAAACTGTCTTTTAAGGTCAAGGTATGTTTTATTAAGTATTAAATCATGAGACAAGACCATTAGATTCTTTTGCTTTGATTCAATTCTGATTTTAATGAAATATATGTTGTTTCTCTAAATTCCCCGGCATTTGCCAGAAGGGGAAGGGTGGCTATAATAATCTTCTTCAGTTTTTCTTCCAGTCAGAAGCTCAGATGCGGCCCTGTTTCAACGATGGGAGTACTCTGCAAACTTACAATGGGATTCTTTTAATACGTGTCACTATCTAAGCAAGAGGTGCTAGAGATTACTATCCTATTTTCTTTTGTTACAGAATGGACTTTCTCCACTTCACATGGCAGCCCAAGGTGACCACGTGGAGTGTGTCAAACATCTACTGCAGCACAAAGCTCCCGTTGATGATGTCACACTGGATTACCTGACCGCCCTCCATGTGGCCGCACACTGTGGCCACTACCGTGTCACCAAACTCCTTCTGGACAAGAGAGCAAATCCCAATGCTCGTGCCCTGGTAAACCTGTCCCACCTGTGTAATGTAACAAAACTATCAAGGGGAGATGAGTAGCACTTACCAGTAAAGCTAAGTGAAAAATCTGTCAACAAACACCGTCAACTGAATAGTCACTGTTGGAGGGATTGTCATACCTACAGATTGCCAGTATTGTACCCCCGTATCGTTAGGCCTAGTATTTGTAGTATCAGGTTTGGAAGCTCTACCCAGAACCATTTCTAGCTGATGCTAACTTTTGCACTGGTATTAGCAATAGTTCAGTTTTTCATATTGTAATATGATAGACAACTAATTTTTCAAAAGTTTCAACTGAATCGGTAAGCTAATTGTCATGGAGATAATAATTTAAAAATATCTATTTTTGCATTTATCAGATTGTGACATTCCCTTATGTTATGTACCCTTTTATTCTTTTAAAACAAAAAACAAAAAAAAACCCACACTTGCAGGAAAACAGGTCTAATTCTTTTCACTCATGGATCAGACCATTATCTCCAAACTGCGACAAATACCACATTTGGTTTAAAGCTTTAAAGAGCTCTCAATCTATCCAAACCCAGACATGATTCCAGTTTCCTCTAATAGGAAGCATGCCCATGAACCGTTAGCTGGATAGAATTTGAAGTAACAAGATACTGTGCTCAGTGTAGGAAAGAAAGAGGCTGTGAATACTTAAGATACTTACGTATGGCAAGAACTCTGCTGTTACCTCCTGTATTTGGTGCAGCTTTCACTGCAGGCCACTCTTATGTCTTCCCCAGCTTCTTGCCTCTGATATGACCTTGAATTTTTTTGTGAACTGTCCCCCTATCACAAGGGCTTCTCATTTCACTGCCTACTTGGAATTGGCTTTTTACTGCCCCAGTCGTCTTCAGCCATGTCCTTTTTCTTGGCCTCTCTATACCCTCAAATTCCCTAACTCCTCTTGCTTCCTTGTCTTATGCTTTTCTTGGTCAGTCTTTTTCTGTACCATTTTCACTTGGTTGGTCTTTTTTCGTGCTATTTTCATCCTTGCATCTTGTTTTTTCTGCCAGTCTTTCAATCCCCTTTAGCTGTACTTTCATCAGCTACCCACACATACATGCTGGTGTGCTAGCCCCCTCATCCTTATTCTTTCCTTCCATGATGAGAAATACACGTTCTGTTCCTACCCCCTTCTTTATTTCCCTCCCTGAGAAACATCTATCCTGAAACGAAAGGAGAACAATCTCAGGCAGCTGCCTTTCTGCTCTCCTACCTCGAGGCTGTTTTTGTTTTCTGTCTCTCTCGTTCTCTCTCCCATCAGTGACTCCTCGCCTCTGGCTTGTTTTTAGTATTTAATATATTAAATGATGCTCATGATTTCCATTACTAGTATGTTCCTTCTGCCTTCTCCTCTTCCCCTCCAAGCTGCTCCTCACTTGAATAGACAGAGCAAAATGAAATGAACTCAGGCAATAAAATTAAGTGAACGTATGGAAACTTGTGAAATAGTAAAACTCCCTATGAAATATATCGAGAGTCATTGTGCAGGATGTAGAATATCTTACGGTTTTGAATCCTCCTTAAGAAATAGAAGAGGGATAATAGTAATAATATTCAGGAGAGAGTACTGTGGTGGAATAATTTTAGAAATAATTCATTTTCAGCTACCTCTTTTAAAAAATAATTATTAATGCTTATAAAATGATATGAAGATACAAGCAGTACATGAGTTCTCAGCTTTTGCAATTTGTATATGCTGTAAAGCACCTTCAAATCAACTACTAATTAGCATTTCTCTTAACAGAGGTTAACTGCTGAATAATCTGTCATAAGCAGTAGCTGACTTTTTCCATGAGTTAAGATTTCTGATACAAGTTAATTTTACTGCTGGTCGAGTGTTTAGCAGTAATCCTTTAGTGATCCTTTTCATTAGAAAATACAGCAATTATTTAACAAAATGTTACCTGTGCTTTCCACAAAAATGTTCTTACACAGGCAGGCTGAATTTTAATTTGCCAAGCTTTTTACTAACAGCTGAAAATTGAGCCTTTCAATTCGTCTCACTTAGAAAATAATGTGTTTGCTAAGCTTTTTAGGTACGCACTTAACCTGCATTAGCTATAATAGTATATAAAAACAGCTTGAAGTTGAAGCTACAGCATGAAGACATAATATATAGTATGAAGATATAGTATATAGTATGAAGAGGCCTCAGTCTTACTGAGTGAGCATTTCCAAAGAAGAGAATCTCTGCTGATCATAAGCACGTTCAAACTATTGTCTCACAGTGCAAAGCGTTAGGTTGCAGTCCTGATTTAAGAAGTTCCCATCCCTCTGCCCTTTCATTCCTGTTCTTGCCCCATTCAGTTTTAATCCAGAGGAGTGCTGGTATCTTGCTTGCAGTGCTTTATGACTCAGCAGGGCAGGAATAAAGGAAGAGGGGATGAAAATACTTCAGGACCAAACACTGTCTAATGAAACCACAGCTGAAGTAGTGATTATTAACTGAAGATACCTTATAGAATACACAAATATGCAAACACTTATGCATAAAGTGTACTAAAGATTGATGCATAAATATAAATAAATAGATGCTTAGCTTACAAGATATTCTATGAAGACAAATAAGAAAATGAGGTGGGATCTGGAGGAAATGCTCTGTTCCTAGAGAGGGATAGACTATGCTCTATATGTTTCAGGCACAAGACACTAGTTGAATTTAAAGTTATCACTATCATTTCTTGTACTTTCCTTGTGTTACGCAATCATCAGAACCACTTTTAAGTCATTCTTAGACGGACGATAGACATACATGCGTGCGAATGGACTCGTACAAACCTGCACGTGCGTGCGTGCACACATGCACACGCACGCACACTTTAAAGTCAGAACAGGCATGCCTGTGTTTGGTTTCCGGAGGTGGAAGTTTGGTTTCTCTCCAGTATCTGCGAAGAAAGCGGTGGCACTGCTATGTTCTGCCTCCTGTTCCTGGGAGGAGATGTAATTCGTAACCTATAGTGCCTCTAAAGAAGAGTTGCTTCTGATATTCTAACGCTTCTGCTTCCAGTGTGCTCGCATGGAGCTGTGCGGAAAGTGTAGCTGCATGTTTTTAACTAACATGACTGTCTTTTGCACAGAATGGTTTTACTCCACTGCACATTGCCTGCAAGAAAAATCGCATCAAAGTCATGGAACTCCTGGTGAAATATGGGGCTTCAATCCAGGCTATAACAGAGGTAGAAAAATGTTTCATATCATGAAGAAACATTCCTTCTCTCTCTTCTTTTTTACTTCCTTTTTTCTCTTTCCTGTCATGCCTCACTTTCACTTATGTTTTACTTAAATGAAGAAGCCCCTCCGCTACGCCCCATGCAGAGGAGTAAAACTGTTCTTGCTTTGTTTCGCAGTCGGGCCTCACACCAATACATGTGGCTGCATTTATGGGCCACTTGAACATAGTCCTCCTTCTGCTGCAGAACGGAGCCTCTCCCGATGTCACTAACATTGTGAGTATGGCTTTGACTAGAATCATCTGTGCGATAGCTCATACAAAAAGAGTCTATGTTCAGCCAAAGGTCACATTTTAATGATGCTACTTAAGTACATTTTAGGACAAATTATCCTAGCACCTTTCCCAAACAGTAAACGAGAGGAAAACAGCTATTGTATAGGCATTATAAGCTGTCTGTGGTTTCATGTGTTCTTCAGCAATGCTTGAGTAGATAAAGTTTCCTTTAAAAACAGCTAAAGCTCACCAAATACCTCAAAACTCAAAATAAGCCAAGTTGCATGGAAGATTGTGTTTCAGTTTTGAATGATGAAATTTAAATCCAAATGGTTCTAATTTCTGCTTGCACAGCTTCACCCTTTGCCATGAAATTGTGTCATTTGTATTAGTGAAAGTGTATAAAATACTTAAAACCTAACAAACAAAAAATAAAAATGTTAAACTCAAGATGTTCCTTTAACAGGAAATTCCAGGAACTGGTGTCTTTCTAAAGAACATATTTAAGTCTAGAAAATGTGACCTTTGGGAGGTAACACAAAACGCAGGACCTGACTTACCACAGAAATCGGTGTTTGTATACCAATAGCCTAGTTGCCAAGAATAATAGCAATAAAAAGAACATGATGGTTTCCTGAGTTGAATTTCACAAATATCTTGCTGTTTGAATGTGTTAATATAAACAAATACATACGACTACCTTCATTTTGAAAGCAGTGTTTTTTAACCCGTAGATAAAAGTTAGAAGTAAGTTTTTTGCAACAAAACAAACTTGTGAGTGATCGAGGTACACTGGACCTATCAGTTTTTCTTAGTTTGAAAAATCTTATATGGAAACCAGGAAGAATGTGCAACAAACTCTGAATTATTTGCTTGAGTTACTGGAACAGAGTCTTCTTGACAAAATCTGTTCCTGCTTTTATACTTTTTAATAGAAGCAATGTTTATAAAAAATTATTAATGGATGTCATGGAAGCCAACAAGAAATTCTTGTGGAAGCAATTAAAAGTATTGTAGAGGTAGAACAGGACATTTGTGTACAAAGTTTAACACTTTATAATTTATGCTACACAGGTGTCTTGGCTTTTACTTGGTAAGCTGAAGTTCCCTGTTGAATTACTAACTGTTTCCAAAGGCTAAACTGCTTTGCTAATTCAAGTACAGAGCAGTCTGTATAGCAATTTGATCGTTAAAGTGTGTAAACTGTAAAACTTATTCACATTTTAAACGGCTCATTCTTCAGGTAATAAAACTTTTATAGATGAAAATCTGTATTAAAATTTATAATTAGGGCTGTGGGATTTTGTCTGTTGCCTACTTACTAATCACAGCTGGTAATCTAATGTTAATTTAAACACAAGTATAGCTAAATCAACTGTCTGTGAGGAGGGTTTACTTGAATCAAAAGTTTGTAGCAGTGACTAAACTCGGGTTGTTTCCTTTGCTTCATTTGTACAGAAGAAGGACAAAAAGAAGTTGATTTCTGATTCTGATGCAAAAGATCTTGATGATGGTGGTGTTTTGGTATTTACAGTTTAGTTTGATAGTCATGGGGATAAGAGCCATACAGTAGAATATAGTCCAGCATTAGAGCAAAGAGATGGAACTCTTCATCCGAAGAAGTGATCAGTCCTGCTGTGTTGTCATAACATAAAAGATAAATGAAGAGCTCTTGATTGTTGAACTGTCCCACTACCTAATGTACCAGATACAGATGAGCTGCACAGGGACTGTTTTAGTCAACTTAATGACAATGTTCTCAAAGAATGTGTTGAACAGTGCAAAATTGAGCTAGGAACTCCCTCATCAAGGAATGCTCACTTTCAGTGTTCCTTGGCAAGCCAATGCAAAAAATAAATTCTTTGACTGTATCATCTGTACCTCATTATCGTGATCTAAATGTCCAGATCACGCCAGTCAGCTTTCTTAAATTTCATATTCCCCTTTGAATTCTGTGGACTAGAAAAGGCTTAAACCAAGATTTGTTTCACAGCCCGCAGACACAGCCATGCTGCTGAGCACAGATTTTACACATTTCATATGCTGGCTCAGTTGTGCACAGCCATTGCAAGGCCTTGTAAAGCTGCCAGCTCCACACAGTGGGCAGGAAGAGACCATCTGGAAAAATATCCCCTTCCATCTTGAGGCTCATGTGCCTTGCAATCCCTTGAGACAGACAGACAGTTAATATACTCTTATCTCCTGTGTGGCATGCAAGCTGATGCGCTGTTATGTAGAAGGCTGAGGAACGTATGTTAGCAGGGAAGTCCCTAAGGCAGAATTTTCTTGAGCATGATCGGGGCTTGAACATTCTCTGATGGGCCGTATTTTTGCATCACTTGCACACTGTAAGACTGAACGTGAACATGCATTTCCACTGGAGTTACTGATTGTAATGACTGCAGAAAAGCCAGGAATTTCATTCCGACCCTCTGTAGCAAGATTACCCTTGTCTGGGATCTCAGAGTTTACAAACCATGTACTTAGGCAGGCCTAGTGACATGTACAAGTACTTTCCTGAACTCACTGTTGCTAGCCAGGTTCTCAGCTAGTGGAAGTGCAGGTTTCTTCACAAGTTGAAGTGGGTGGAATTTACAAAATCTGAGTTTTATTGCTTCCTGGAGGTTTAGGACGCTGAAACCTTTTTGCTTTTCTGCAGCGTGGAGAGACCGCTCTACACATGGCAGCACGTGCTGGGCAGGTGGAAGTAGTTCGCTGTCTCCTGAGAAACGGGGCCCTGGTTGATGCCCGAGCCAGGGTAGGTGCTCTCTTTGCAACTTCTTTTGCTTTCCCACCAATGTAGCTGAAGCAGTAGGGCTAAGAAGGAGCAATTTCATTGTTATTTGAACTGTGGATTCAAGACTAAGCACATCTGAATGCCATTCCATAAGGTAACTTATTTGTGCGTAATTCATCCAAATAGAATGTGTCTGGCTCAGAACAGTAACAGCTCTTTTATCTGAGCAAGAATTGTACAGCAGTGTCCTAAAATCAAACACTGGAGGTTCTGATAGCAGCTAGCTCCGAGTGCCAGATTTTGAAACCAAATGGACTGTTTGTCAAGCAAGGCGCAGCTGTTCTACAATAAATTAAGAATACCAAGGAAAGTAAGTGGCGCTCACAGCAATTTCAGCTATCTGCCTTTTTACTGAGAAGAGAAAAACAATGTTTTTCTCCAATGTTCCTCTCTTTCTGTTCTAATCAGATATTGCTGAAGCTGATCCCAGAAATTAGCCTTACAGGTTCCTCCTTTAGACCTTTTTTTAGTTGTTTTTGTGCTGTCGCTTGTTATGACTTCTGCAAGACAAATGCATAGAGAGATCTACTGGAATTAACCAGAATCTGGTGTTCAGGGTAGTTCTACCTGTGGTAATTATCTACTCAATTTGAGTTGTAGGAAGAACAGACTCCACTGCACATTGCCTCTCGCTTGGGTAAAACAGAGATCGTCCAACTTCTGCTACAGCACATGGCCCACCCTGATGCTGCAACCACTAATGGATATACTCCACTGCACATTTCTGCCAGAGAGGGACAAGTTGATGTTGCATCAGTTCTCTTAGAGGCAGGTGCCTCACACTCCATGTCCACCAAAGTAAGACAAAATGCTTTGTGTCTGTGCTCTAGTAGGCAGTGCACAGGGAGCAACCTGTTCCATGATGAATGTACTTTCACTGAGAAATTGAGCTAGTCTGTTTTTGTTTTGTTTTGTTCTTATGTGATCAACAGTGATCCAATAGGCTGAACAAATATGTCAGGAATTAACCAAATATTGTCATAATTTACTGTCATCTGAAGCTGTAAGTTTGGTTCCCCCTAACCAAATGCAGATAAATAAGTGCTCTGAACAGGTTTAAAAAGTACATGAAGTCCTGGTTTCTCTCTTTCCCATTGTGTTACAGGTAGGGCTTTTTTTTTTTTTTTGTCAAAAGTTTCAAAATAGAAAATGCAGGTTTGGAAGAACGAAGCAAAATGTTTTTGTAGGAACAGGCCTGCATATTTTTCAATACTCTGTTTATGTAAATGATTCTAGTCTCTATTAGCTGAAAGGAATATTCTCAAAACATACAATTCAGCTTCTGTCGAGTCTCAGATAATTCTGAATCTATTTTCAGTGATTCTATGAATGACATATCATATGACACAATAGGCCATTTTTTTTCCCTAGCGTTATAAAAGAAACGTTCTGTGGAAATATTTTGGTTTTATTTTAGCCAGACGTGGTTGCCAGTACTTTCCCAATAGAGTGATAAGCCTTTAAGGAAACAGGTACTGTGAATAGAACTATCTGCCAAGATATCTTTTCCAAATTTATCACAAGTGATTACGTGATTTTTCACTATAGTTTTAGATCTAGATTTAGTTTTATAGTTTTAGATCTAAAGAAGTACCCCTGATTTTACAATTGGATCTTAAAACATATTTTTGAAAAATGGGAAGTCTTCCAGGCAGGGTTTAGAAGACTAAACCCATGATTCTCAAATTCTCATCCACGGATTACTGGGAATGCTCACTGTTCTCCTTTTATCTGGCTGTTAAATCACATTAAAAATGGCTAAAAATACACTAAGTACTTTCCTAATTTTCCATATTGCTTTATGGCAATTGCTTTAGTTACGGCAGGAACATTCTGTCATTATGAATAAGGA